TGAAATTTTTTTAAAATCAAAAATCAATAAAAACCGGGCGGAAACGATAGAGTGTGTTCTGACCTACATTTGTTTAATGTGTGATGTGATAACACACACACAGTTCTTATCATTTTTTATCAATTTGGGGGGGGGGGGGTGGAAAAAGATGGGAAAATGACCAAAAAATGGGGGAAAATAGCTTTTAACTTTGAGCACATGTATCTCATTTCCTGTAAAAGATATCAAAAAGTGATCAACTAACAAAATGTTGCTGATATTATAATAAACATTTTATCAGTTGACAACTTTTTGATATCTTTCAAAAGAAGTGAGATATATAGGCTCAAAGTAAACGGTCCGGGTGGCGTTCTAGAGGAAAAATCAATTTTCAGCATTAAAAATGGCTGAAATATGGCTGGAAATTGAAAAATATAGGAAACGAAAAAAATTGCATTTAAAGAAGCTTAGAAATTCAGAACTTTCAATTTTAAAAAATTGTTTTAAAAAAATTTTTTATTAAAAAAAAAATTTTTTTTTGAAACTTTTCGATTTTTCCCAAAAAAGGGATAAACCTCTCAACTTAAAAGTTAAGTATGTTTCTCTACTAGTGGTTAAAAACGTTTTTGCGGTTTGACCCAGAAAAAAAAACCGGAAAATTCGTCTTCTTTTTGGTTAAGTAGTACGTACTTGGAGATTGGAAGGGGGGGGGTGTATTCAGAAATTCAGAAATTCAGAAATTCCAAAAATTCAGAAATTCAGAAATTCAGAAATTCAGAAATTCGGAAATTCAGAAACTCAGAAATTCGGAAATTCAGAAACTCAGAAATTCAGAAATTCCAAAAATTCAGAAATTCAGAAATTCAGAAATTCGGAAATTCAGAAATTCAGAAATTCGGAAATTCAGAAACTCAGAAATTCAGAAATTCCAAAATTCAGAAATTCAGAAATTCAGAAATTCAGAAATTCAGAAATTCAGAAATTCAGAAATTCAGAAATTCAGAAATTCAGAAATTCAGAAATTCAGAAATTCAGAAATTCAGAAATTCAGAAATTCAGAAATTCAGAAATTCGGAAATTCAGAAATTCCAAAAATTCAGAAATTCAGAAATTCAGAAATTCGGAAATTCAGAAATTCAGAAATTCAGAAATTCAGAAATTCAGAAATTCAGAAATTCGGAAATTCAGAAACTCAGAAATTCAGAAATTCAGAAATTCAGAAATTCAGAAATTCAGAAATTCAGAAATTCGGAAATTCAGAAATTCCAAAAATTCAGAAATTCAGAAATTCAGAAATTCGGAAATTCAGAAATTCAGAAATTCAGAAATTCAGAAATTCAGAAATTCAGAAATTCGGAAATTCAGAAACTCAGAAATTCCAAAAATTCAGAAATTCAGAAATTCAGAAATTCAGAAATTCGGAAATTCAGAAATTCAGAAATTCAGAAATTCAGAAATTCAGAAATTCGGAAATTCAGAAACTCAGAAATTCCAAAAATTCAGAAATTCAGAAATTCAGAAAAACCAAAAATTCAGAAATTCAGAAATTCAGAAATTCAGAAATTCAGAAATTCGAAAATTCAGAAATTCAGAAATTTGGAAATTCAGAAATTCAGAAATTCAGAAATTCCAAAAATTCAGAAATTCGGAAACTCGGAAATTCAGAAATTCAGAAATTTCGAAATTTCAACAAATTTC